ATTCTTCTACTGTTTTTATGAGCCTCTAGTGAATGACAGGACCTCTGGGAACACTACCATCTCTAGACGTATTACCCTCAGTAATTAGAGGACCTTGAGGCCTTCAACCATTTGATGTTGGCTGGAAACTGACTTTCTGTTATGATGACATCAGAAAGCAATTTACACAGCTTAGATATAAAGGTTTCAGAAAAATATAACCAACTACGTGAGCAGTATCCGTTAATTCTAAAAGGTAGCAACTGATATTTCACCAATTTAGTGATGCAGAAAGAGAAGTTAGCTATATCTTTATACATGTCAAGAATTTTAATCAATATGGAAATTAACTTGTTATGTTTGACAATCACAGATCATTTGATCGTAAACAGTTGTTAACTGAGCCAAACCACTTAAAGCATATTCACACTTGTTTGCTTTGATAGAGCAAAACACTTGAATTTTGCTGCATGAAAATGCAGTTCAAGTAAAAACCCATTCTCTCCTATGTTGCTGGTTCACATGAGCTGCATGTGTGAGGACGGAATCTCTATGTGCCTATTCACACCTAAATATGTGTGTTACCATATGTGCTGCATGCACATGGGGCAATGTAAAATCAACCTAAAAATGAAATAAAGTATAAAGGGCAGCCAGATAAATGTGTGTGGTGGTTACCGTTGTCGCATATTACCACCCAGTACTGACCAGCTTTCTTTTTTTACTCATCTATTTGAGGTGGTTTTTTAAACATTGCCAGGATACATTTCTATGCAGATATTCCAACTTGAGATTGATTCCTAGACCGATATGGAGAAAGCTGGGCTTCAAAACCGTTTTTTTCCCTTCTGTCTTAAAATGGGTTAGCCGACATGTGGAATGAAATGCATTCCAGTGCTCAGTACTACTCTCATTATTCTCAACCACATCAATCTTTTTTGTACATAGACCACATTTTTTGCGCTTACATCAACTCTTCTCCAGGGGTCTTCTTCTTCCATTTGCCTTTATCCTGGTCTGATTGTGACTTACTCTCCATGACTTTGGATTCTCTGCTTTCTATAGGATCTTTCCCATATTGGAAATTAAAGTGGAACTTTAGTCAGAAAATTAAGTTCTGCTAGATCACTTCAAGCAGGCCCCTTTTGCAGGTATAGCTATGTAAAACATTAAAAATAAGTGCCTATACTGTTTAAATTCCAGCAATACACGGTCTCATCCTGCTTTGCAAATGCTCAGTTGCTCTCTATTTTTTGTCACTGCGCCGACAATGTAGAGGGCGATCTGTTGACAGCCTAAAAATTTACTGCTGCTCAGGGGCACTGGGCTTCAGCAAAATAGCAGTCTCTTGCAAGAAGAAATAGGAACAATGCTGGATGTAATTTACAACACACCCTAATTTTGGTAATATAATTATTAATGTTGAATGTTTGTAAAGTTCCGCTTTAAATGATTCCTTACTCCATGACCCTGCTATCTGCTTGTACATCCAAATAGAAGTGTAAGTCTATTTCTCCATGTTTGGTTAACTCTCCAGTAATGTCACGAAAAAAGAACGCTCAAAAGAGATTACACTTGGACCATATACTTTTAACTCTCTCCTCACAATACAAATCTTCTCCTACCTCGGAACTTGCTACTAGAACATGTTGGCTGCGATTTAAACCTTTGCTTGTCTAACTTAGAGAAACAAATACATTGGACAAAATTCCAAAACTTCCATAAAGGGAACAAACCACTTTGTTAGCATGTAGGCTTCATCGTTTCACACCTTTATTTAAATCTTACCAACTTAAGTTCACAGATAGCCAGCTAACTAGTAACCCCCTAAAAATTACCCAGATTTTTCAAACTCACCTATCTCACTTTTATTCATCTCTACAACCTTAAAACTAATCATTGGCAGGTTCTCTTTTTTTTTTTATAACATAGACCTTCCTAAGCTTTTGCCTGATTTTCACTCACTTTTTGAAAAGGATATATCTTTTTTTTTTTGGAAGTTCAAACTGCAATTAAAGCTAGCAAATAACCTAGCTCAAATAGTTTTACTGCCATTTATTATTACAAAAAATGCTGAATGCCTTGGTCCCAGGTTGGCCTCAACTTTTAATAATCTTGGTAAAGAACACATTTGTCATTAATCCCTTACAGCAGCTAGTAGTAGGATTCCCAAACCATTGACAAATGATACAAACTGGTTTTATTTTCTTACCTACTGTATTTTCTTGCTAAAACCCAACATCAAGTTACTAGTGAAAATTTTAGCCACTTGTCTAAGTTCTAATATTCCTAGTCTTGTGTTTCTAGATCAAGTAGGTTTTATACTTGGTCGTCAGGCTGAAGATAACATCCGTCACCTTCTTCATCTTCTTCAGAGCTAGTCAAATCCCAAAACATTACCTCTCTATTGCTGTCTTTAGATATCAAAATAGCTTTTGTTAGTCCTTCCAGGGATTATCTTTTCTTTGCTCTTCACAAATGGGGGTTTGGAAATAATTTTCCTACTTGGATTCAAGCACTCTGTAAAGACCGACAGGTGTTTGCAAAATACTCCGGTTTCAGGTCAAATACCTTTCCTACCCAATGCGGGACATGGCAGGGCTGTTCCTAATCTCCCTTGTTCTTTGTTCTATCCAATCAATCGAACCCTTGGCTTGGATGGATCGCTGTGATCAATATGACTCTTACCTAAGTTACTGTATTATTTCAGGGTCTTGCCAGTGCAGATCCCTCCACATGTTTTGTGTTCTTTTCAGGCCAAGATCCTTGCCTTTATATAGTGTGACACTAGACCATGGCTTGTAAAAAATTGCTTACTTCAACCTTAGCTGCAAGGAGGATTGGGAGGTCCATACATAACCAGTTATTTTATGATTGCAAATATTCCAATTCGCACTTCTTCACATGCAGGTTAATGTCAACTTAGAAGCCTGTTTCTATTGCCCCCCTCTCCTCACAAAATCTCCTTTGGTTTCTGCTGTCTGAGCGAAGAGCACATTCTAGACCTAATACCTCCCACTCTCTTTAGGTGTGGTATTTGGTTAAATATTATGCCAAACGTTCATCCCCCACACCTCTCTTTAATCCAATTGTTTTGTAACCTATTTTCACTCCTGGTTGGGAATCTATGCAAAGTTTTTTTTGGTGGTTGGGCACAAACTTGACTCACCTGTATGACATCCTTTGTTCCTTTGGACTTAAAGGATAAGTTCACCTTTTAACAAAAAATAATAAATGCACATTTTTTTGCAGGTAAAAAAAATTAGCAAATTAGCATTTTCTATATTTTGTTTTAGGCACCTGGAAAGCATTGCCTAGCAAGACTCCTGCAGACTGTCAGTGTAAGCTGTCTACTCATACTTTGTACGGGCACTTCAGTTTTTCCACTGATTGGAAAAATCAATGAACTACCACAGTGCTGAACAGCGCCTTGGTAATTCATTGAGAACTACAAGTCGACAACTGCAACAGGGATTTGTAGTTTCCCATTCACAGAACTCTGAATGAATGACACAGTCAGGAAGGGGCAGCCCCGCACGGCTGCGTTTTTTTTTTCAAATTGTGACAGCTAGCAGGGGGAGAAGATCCCCTGCTAGCTGTCACAATGGGTGATGGGGGGGGGGGGGGGGGGGGGGAGGATGCAGGGGCTGGGCCCTGAATATGGGTGTAACATGTTACAAAAGGTGAACTCATCCTTTAGGTCCTTTGAAACCCCTAAAGAATAGCTTAACATACCATCTACAGAAACTTTTGATTATGTTCAATCATGTTCAAATATGTGTTCACCTTGCTTTGTTACTCTGATACCCCTTTACAGCTTACGGCATTTGAACACTGTTGTAATACTGACCCTCACACCCTTAGAATTATTTCCACTATCTACCTGCTGCTGCTAATGTCCTGCTTTTCTTCACTGCCAGGTTACTTGTCAAGTTGGGTCTCTGACCTTGAGATTGATATATCTCAGGGAGATTGGTAAGATACATGGGTCAGTACATCTAACAGCTCTATCAATGTCTTATCTACTAAAACCAATTACAAAGTGCTAACGCGGTGGTATCTGGTACCTAATTGTCTATCTTGCATGATACCAGGCTATCCCTAAGTTTGTCTCAGGGGCTGTTCTGTACGTTTAGACATATTTTCTGGGATAAAAGTGGTCATTTCTGGTCCCATACCTATCAACTCATCTATACTGTCTTGAAAGGACCCCTGCGGAAGCACCCATTACAGGCTTTTTTAGGTAGGAAACTGATTGGTGATTGTTCTAGGACTTTTACTTGTATGGCAGCGAAACAGACCATCGCGTGTGCCTGGAAAAAAAACAACTACATGTATAAACCTACAGTGGATATAAAAAGTCTACACACCCCTGTTAATATAGCAGGTTTCTGTGATATAAAAAAATATGAGACAAAAGGTAAATCATTTCAGAACTTCTTCCACCTTTAACATGACCTATAAACTGTACAACTCAATTGAAAAACAAACTAAAATCTTTTGGGGGGGGGGGGGGGGAGAAAACATAAAAAACTAAAATAATGTGGTTGCATAAGTGTGCACACCATCTTATAACTGGGGATGTAGCTGTGTACAGAATTAGGTAATCAAATTCAAAATAGGAGTCAGTACACATTTGCCATCATTTAAAGTGCCTCTGATTAACCCCAAATAAAGTTAAGCTGTTCTAGTAGGTTGTTCCTGACATTTTCTTAGTTGCATCCTACAGCAAGTCTACATATTTATCTTTTTATGAACAAACTGCTAGGCATTAAATCAGTAGAAGTTTAAGAGGACCTGCAAATTAAAAACACTGTTGTAATGCCGTTAACAGCAATGTCATATGCTTGCATGCTGTTGTTTGCACTTCATATACAGTGGTGTTATTGTGGATAGTCTCTCACACCTAGTATTAAATAGGGTAGTTACACATCTGCATTCTTAGAAAAAGAAAGACGGTAATAAACTATAGTACTGGGTTATTGATTATATTAAAGTATGAACTACTTTTTTCCACTTACCAGTGCCAAAACATTAAGGAACTCTCTTGTGTCAAAGTGCAACAGTGTCCTGATGTAGGGGTACACCTCTTCTTCACAGGGTGCCTCTGGAGAATGCAAACGTATTAGGAACTCAAAAACCTGTAAAAACAAGTGACAGTTAAATAGGGCTGACTTAGATTAGTGCCCTGCTGGTATATGTTACCTCCATGACTCCCAAGAGCAGTGGTCTCCAAACTGCGGACCTGTGCTTGCCTTTATCCAGCCCTTGGGCCACTATTCCTCCCAGTGATACGAGACACTATTTTGCCAGCTGGCACCAACAATAGAACACTATTCCTCCCAATCATACCAACGATGGGGCACTATTTCTCACCCTAATACCAACTGTGGCTATGTTTACTCCCACTGATGCCAGGAAAATTTCCTTTCCCACTGGCCACAGTCCGGCCCTCCTAAAGTCTGAAGGACAATAAACTGGCCCTTTGTTTAGAAACTTTGGAGATCCCTGCTCTAGAGCACCGCACAAAGATCATTTATTTGAATTAAATGGTGGTAATATTATTTATGTCCCTTAGGAAAAAAAAGAACCAGATATGTGTTGTACAGAAAATTAAGCATACCAGTCATGTACAGTTTAAGGAAATAATAGTAATTTAAATAAGCACCAACCTGGTTTTTCACTTGTGGGACGAGGTCTTCTGGAATGTCACCTAAAGGATATGCTCGCCCAGCCAAACTTGAGCTATGGAAATAGATAAGGGAGGCATATTACCAAGAATGCCATAAGATGATATTGGGGGGAAAACAAAATAAACTATCTCCAATATAAATAGCTACCCTAGTAAAGCAACTACTAATAGCAGGTTAAAAGAACTTAAGAGAGTTTTTCCTAAAAAAAAAAAAAATATGGGCAATTTGCTTCAATATGATCTTGCAATGCCTTGGCTACAGAGAACGGATTGGCTTTATGCTCATGAGTCAATCCAATTAATGGTCTGCTAGGTAACCCATTAAGTACAGTACATAAAAAGTGGCCATTTATACTGAAGTATTATCTGTTGTTCTCTATGAAGGAATAAGGCCTATGTTCTTCATTTCTGCTCAATAACCTATATATTGAGGTTCAGTCCTCAGGTGCCCCCACTTAGACAGTGGACCTTTCCTTTTTTTTGTAGTTATTACCTATTACACTTTAGAGATGTTTCTCAGAAACACTCCTGATATAATGGTACTAGAGGTTCTACAGAATTTCAAGTGTATAACTAGTCTTTTCAAATCGATTGGCTTAGGCAGCCACCCTCTTTCTGAAGTCCAAATTGAATTTTAAAACAAACCATAACAGAACCTTTTTTCTTCACTGGTATAATAGAATGAAAAGATAAATGCACTTTCATATAAAGTGCATTTATCCATTTTGCCTAACCAGCTGACCAAAAGGAACCCACCCTAGAGTCATACTTATTTGCATCTCAGATGCACAATCTGTTGCAATATTGACATGCTCAGTACAAAATCTTCTTGCAGTGTCTTTTGGAATCATCTCCTGAGCATCTCCAGCCTTAGGCATAGGTCATATAGAAGCTTTTGGACACTGACTGTGCAGGTGTGACCAGCAGCAAGACGATTTTGACTCAGGAAATCAACACTAAGCAGCAAGAAGATGAGAAACATCCTCTCCTGCATCTTGGGAGGGGGTACTTTATATCATAACAGCTATAAGGGAAGACTTGGTGCAGTTTAGGTTTGACTCTCCCTTCCCTCCTTTCCAGCTGATTGCTAAAAAAAAAAAAAAAAAAATTAAAAAAATTAAAAATAATGCTGTGGTTATGTAATGTTTGGGTACCGAGTCTCCTTTACTCTTTAGTTTACATCTGGTGGGTCCTTGTTCTGAGTATCCACGCCCACCTGTGTGATGTGAACACTTCCTATTGGTGGTGGTGCAAGTTCCAGTGGTGGGGGTCCTCTCACAGAGGCAGCATAAGAACAGGGAACCAAACCTTAAAAAGATGACAAGCAACTGAAAAGATCTAGTCTCTGGGGCAGGAAACAAGATATCCAGAGCAAAGAAAAGGCGAGTATTGAAGACTATCTTATGTGCCAGAATGAGGTATTGTCAAGGTCCTACCTTTTCCCTGAGGTTATGCCTTTTATGCCTTCAGGTCTCTGTGGTCCATCCCCCAGAGGGGTGTGGCTGATGACATATAAGCCTGTGGCCCGCACATGCTCTTTGCACTTGTGTCTTGTGTCTTTGTGTTGCTATTACTCTGTTCTGACTCTCGTGACTCTCCTGGTATCTGATTCGGCTTGTGACTTGACTATTCTTTGTATTCTCCCTTGATCTGACCCTCTGTTGCTGAACCCGGCTCGTGACCTGTGATTCTCGTCTGCTGTCCTGTACTGTTTTGTCCTGTTGTTGTTGACCCGGCTTGTCTGACTACTCTTTTGTCTCTTCCACCAGCTACACGCCATTGGCGGCGGCCATTACCGCAGCTGAGGTGTCTCGGGGGCCGCGACCTGGTTCCTGGCTGCGTCAAGTCCATCCCCACCATCAGGGGCCCTGGTGAAGGGCAGCCTGGGACTTAGACTCCGCGCCCTGAGGGACTTCGGTTGTGGGTAGTGGTTGTCGTCAGCCAGTGCGTTACATTGTTAGGCCTGCCTGTCCGTTCCTCGGCCCCTGCCCTGACATTACACAAGTGCCATGAACCCTGACGGTGCAGGCACGCCTTCGCTCCCAATGCTAGTCGCCAGACTCGATCAACAGGATCACCTGTTGGATCAATTCGCTCAGGCGTTGCAAACTCTGCTTGCACGCACTGCACACCTTGATCCTGGTGCTATTAGGCCGGTCACTCCGGTGGTCTCTCCCGCAGCTTCTCCGCCTATTGCGTCCACCACCTCGACGGCTGCATCAGCGGCGCCCAGAGGTATGACTGGTTCAGCCCCTCTTCCACAGCGCTTTGGGGGTGAGCCTAGTCAGTGTCGTGGGTTCCTCAACCAGGTGGGTATTTATTTTGAATTAATACCCCACGCCTTTCCGTCTGAGAGGTCAAAGGTGGGGTTCCTAATTTCCCTACTCTCAGACAAGGCCTTGGCCTGGGCAAATCCCCTATGGGAGAGGAACGACCCGGTGATTCAAGATTTTTCCGGTTTTGTCGATGCCTTCCGTAGGGTATTCGACGTACCGGCTCGTTCCGCCTCGGCGGCCAAACTGCTCATGACCATGCATCAGGGTTCACGGACCGTGGCCGAGTACGCTATAGAGTTTCGTACCCTGGCGGCAGAGGTCGGTTGGAACAATGAGGCTCTGGTGGCTGCGTTTTCCCATGGTCTTTCTGACACATTGAAGGACGAGATTGCAGCTAAGGAACTGCCTGTGGTGTTGGAGGAGCTCATCTCTTTCCTGATCCTGATTGACACCAGGCTCAGGGAGAGGCCTTCACTCAGGGAACGCCTGCGGAGGCCTTCCAATCGACTGGCACCTGCGTTTTCTGTCCCACCCGTTCCTCCCTCTCCTCCCACGCCTCCTGGGGATAGCTTGTCTGGTGGGGAACCCATGCAGCTGGGGTTTGCTCGCCTTTCCGAGGGGGAGCGGGCCGCTCGGCGTCGGGAGGGTCGCTGCCTGTACTGTGGCCTCGGTGGGCACTTTCGGCAGTCTTGTCCGGTCCGTCCGGGAAACGCTCGCACCTGAGATCATGTCGGGGACAGATCTTGGGTGGAGTTTCCTCGTCCCCGGCGTTCCGCAAGGATAAGCCACTGATCACCGTGGTCCTTTCTTGGACGGAGGGCTCGGTGACGGCCCAGGCGTTGGTAGACTCTGGGGCCGGTGGGTTGTTCTTGGACAGCTCGTTTGCTGCACAGCACTCCATTCCCCTGCAGGCTCGCGCTACCCCATTGGTTCTCGAAGCCATAGATGGCAGGCCCCTGCAGCCGCCGCAGGTTACCCACGAGACTCTGCCGATAGAGGTAGCCATTGGGGCTGTTCACAGGGAGTTGGCCTGTTTTCAGGTGATTTCTTCCCCACACTATTCGGTGGTTTTGGGGTATCCCTGGCTCCAGAGGCACAATCCAACCTTCAATTGGCAAACAGCCGAGATTCTCTCAGTCTCCACAGTGTGGGGCCGGGTGCATCCGGGGGCCGGTTAAGGTATTGTGTGCCTCCTCGGACTCTGCGTTGCCCACCGACTATGGGGAGTACCGGGACGTGTTTGATAAGGTACGCGCTGGTACCTTACCGCCGCATCGTCCTTACGACTGCGCCATATCCTTGCAACCCGGGGCCACTCCTCCGCGTGGCAGGGTGTACCCTCTCTCGGTTGCGGAGAATAAGGCCATGGAGGAGTACGTTGTGGATGCGCTTTCCCGGGGGCACATTCGTAAGTCTACTTCTCCAGCAGGAGCAGGTTTTTTTTTTTTTCGTAAAGAAGAAAGGTGGGGAATTGAGGCCCTGCATCGATTATAGGGGTCTCAATCGGATTACCATTAAAAATGCATATCCGATTCCTTTGATTTCTGAGTTGTTCGACCGCCTTAAGGGAGCAACAGTCTTTACCAAACTCGACCTTAGGGCGGCGTACAACCTCGTACGGATCAGACAGGGGGATGAGGGAAGACCGCGTTTAACACCAGAACCGGGCACTACGAATACCTGGTGATGCCCTTCGGATTGTGTAATGCGCCCCGCGGTTTTTCAGGAATTCATAAACGATGTCCTTCGTGATTTGTTGCAGCAGTGCGTAGTGGTTTACCTGGATGACATCTTGGTTTACTCTACCTCCATGGAGTCTCATGTCCAGGATGTCAAGCAGGTGCTGCAACGATTGCGTGAGAACGGACTCTTTTGTAAACTCGAGAAGTGCGAGTTCCATCGATCCCAAGTTGCCTTTTTGGGCTACATAATTTCCGCGGAGGGATTTTCCATGGACCCTCAGAAGGTTGCTGCGGTTCTGCAGTGGCCTCGTCCCAATGGTCTTCGGCCCATTCAGCGCTTTCTGGGTTTTGCCAACTACTATCGGAAGTTCATCAGGAACTTCTCCACATTGGCAAAGCCTCTCTCTGACCTAACCAGGAAGGGGAGTAACCCTCACGAGTGGCCATCCGAGGCCATCATAGCTTTCGAGGCTCTGAAAGCCGCCTTTGCTTCGGCTCCGATTCTTTCACATCCCAATCCTGGGTTGCCCTTCGTCCTCGAGGTTGATGCTTCCGAGACGGGAGTAGGGGCTCTCCTGTCTCAGCGTCGGTCGCCCGATGGACCCCTACTTCCCTGCGGGTTCTACTCCAGGAAGCTTTCCTCTGCAGAGTGCAACTACCAGATTGGAGATCGGGAGTTGTTGGTCATCATCCTGGCTCTCAAGGAGTGGAGGCACCTGCTCGAGGGTTCCGCGGTTCCGGTCCTCATTCTTACCGATCACAAGAACCTGACTTATCTTTCGGAGGCCAAGAGATTGACACCCCGCCAGGCCAGATGGGCTCTGTTCTTGTCACGCTTCAACTATGTGGTTTCATATTTGCCTGGTTCCAAGAATGTCAGGGCTGATGCGTTATCACGGCAATACTCTGAGTTGTCCAGGGAAGACTCTGAGCCAATCTCACTTATACCTCCAGATCAGATCCTGGCTGCCATTCGCACCAGTCTGACCTCTCCTCTTGGGGAGCAGATTTTGGCGGCTCAAACTGATGCTCCTCCCGGGAAGCCGGAGGGTAGATGTTTCGTACCCGAGGGATTGCGCACCCGCCTGCTGCGTA